TTTTTTTTTTTTTTTTTTTTTTTTTTTTTGGTAGTTGTTGTTACCCACGCCATTTTACGTCTCCTTCACTGAAGGGCTAGAGTTTTAACTTTTAATTTTTTATATTTAAATGTAGACTTTTGACACTTTTAAAAAACAAAAAAAAGACAAGAGAGATGAAAACGTTTGATTATTTTCTCAGTGTATTTTTGTAAAAAATATATAAAGGGGGTGTTAATCGGTGTAAATCGCTGTTTGGATTTCCTGATTTTATAACAGGGCGGCTGGTTAATATCTCACACAGTTTAAAAAATCAGCCCCTAATTTCTCCATGTTTACACTTCAATCTGCAGGCTTCTTAAAGTGACAGTATCCCTTAACCTGCCACCAGTGTCCACCCTCCGATCCCCGTCTTGTAAAAAGGGGAGGAGAATTAGCCAAACACTGTAAGCTTTTAAGAAAAACAAAGTTTTAAAAGAAATACTGCTCTGTCCAGAGGCTTTAAAACTGGTGCATTTACAGCAAAAAGGGATTCTGTAGCTTTAACTCGTAAACCACATCTTTTTTGCACTTTTTTTATAAGCAAAAACGTGCCGTTTAAACCACTGGATCTATCTAAATGCCGATTTGAGTTCGCGACACTATGTACTGCGTTTTTCATTCTTGTATTTGACTATTTAATCCTTTCTACTTGTCGCTAAATATAATTGTTTTAGTCTTATGGCATGATGATAGCATATGTGTTCAGGTTTATAGCTGTTGTGTTTAAAAATTGAAAAAAGTGGAAAACATCTTTGTACATTTAAGTCTGTATTATAATAAGCAAAAAGATTGTGTGTATGTATGTTTAATATAACATGACAGGCACTAGGACGTCTGCCTTTTTAAGGCAGTTCCGTTAAGGGTTTTTGTTTTTAAACTTTTTTTTGCCATCCATCCTGTGCAATATGCCGTGTAGAATATTTGTCTTAAAATTCAAGGCCACAAAAACAAGGTTTGGGGGAAAAAAAGAAAAAATCATGCCAGCTAATCATGTCAAGTTCACTGCCTGTCAGATTGTTGATATATACCTTCTGTAAATAACTTTTTTTGAGAAGGAAATAAAATCAGCTGGAACTGAACCCTAAATCTTGACTTTTGTCGTTATTATGCCCAATGCCTGGGATGGGAAAAGCCCTACGGTATCTAGACACTACACAATCTGCCTTAGCTTTAAAAAAAATGAGTTATCAGAGGAGTCTTGTCAAATGCTACCTTATTGAGGAATATTAAATGTCTCTTGGCCAGATTTCTCCTGACCCTGAAATGATGGCATCAGCTGAATATGTGTCAACTCAACACATGCTTTCTAGGAATTTTCTGAATTTACCATATTTAAAAACGCCCTTTGTCTTGGAATCTGAAAAAGAGGGGGAGGGGCAACGTGGACAGAATTCTTCACAGATGAAACTGGCTAGCTGATCTTTTTTTGAACTTGGTGCTCCTGGAGCTGCTTTCTCCTTGACATGCCCATGCTTACCTCTAGCAGTGGCTATAATTGGTTTCCAAGGGTTAAGGACAAATAAGCTGTTAAATTATCAGTAGATTATACAGGATAAGGCTTTTACCGATGATGAAATGCTGAAGGTGTATGCAATTTTTTTTTTTCTCAAGCAGAAAGGTTGATGTGGTGCTACGATCTCCATTTTTTGCCATGCCCAACATGGTGTTAATGTAAGAGAACTGCATCAATAAAGATGACCTGGAGAAGCTGGCTCCATATGGGCTCAGAGGAAAGCCCCCTGTCTCTCAAAATAGCACTTTGGCTGCTGGAGATTTGTGCTTTTTCTAAGAATCAGGCAGGATTGTTTAGACTGCAAAGAGAAAAAGTTCTTGGATTTCTTAAGGCCTAATACTCTTGGGTTTGGAACATGCAACTTGCTAAGTGGCACTATTTCCTGTTTATTTTGAGAGTTAACAATTGCTATTAACTAACAAAAGCCATCTTTACTTCCAAATGTGTGTTAAAAATGTGTCTTTTACATGTCTTGAGTTTTTCAGCACTGGAGAGGAGGGGTTAATAAGCAGAAGTGTTTGGAAATAATCCCTTACTCATTTGGATTACTTGTAGATTAGGGAGTATTATGCTGGAAGGTACACCTGGAAAAAGAGAACTTTGAGGACTGGTCTAAAAGGAGGGGGTTTTGTGGTTGTCCAATGGAAAGCAATGATCCATCCCCAAAAACCAATATAACTTGTGTTTCCATTTAATTTATCTCTTAAAGATAGCTACTAGTTTTCAACATTTTTTTTCATGTATGGTGCTCATATATTTAGTTTTAAGTGCATTTGTGTTCTGCAATTGGAATTCCATTTTTTAAAATGACCTTAGAACAACATGGCATCTAAGTTTCTTCAAAGATCTTTGCAAAAGGAAAAACCCTTCTGTAGAAAAGTGCTTTTAATTTGTGTTCATTGCAGTGATAATATAATTGTTTAGCTTTTTTCAGATCCAAGATATCAATAGCATGACATAAATGCAACCTAAATGATGCGTTTTTTAAATGATGCATCTCTTTTAAAGTATATTTTTATTTCGGAGGATTCTCCTGTTAGAACTTATTTTTCCTTGACTCTCCATGTAAAAGCAGATGCTTTAAATATTTCCTTTAAGAATTTTGATAACATTGGTTTAAAAATAAAAGCTGAAATGTGTGTGTCCTTCCTGGCAGGTGGTAAAGTAAACGTAAGAAGCATTTTTGTACAATGTCTTTTCCTCTGAGTCTGTTTTCATTCATAAGGGATACTTACGTATTAGGTGGTAGAAGGCATAATAAACATATGAAACCAAACAGTTTTGATTTAGTATGATTTTTTTACTTTCAGATAATTGGGATCAATAGAAAAGAATAAGTTTCAGATTTTCTTTTAAGAATATCAAGCAATTGCTTCTGGCCCTGTGCTCCATCAGAAATGTGAATCCATGATACTTGCTTAAGCAAGTTTTGTCAATTCCTAGTTGAATCCCTTTAAGTGCCAAGAAAAAAAAAAAAAGCATGTAAGCTCAGAGGGTGGGCCCAGCTCCTGGAAAGGCTTTTGGGGTTTGTTTTTACCCTGCTCTTGGGGTACTAGGGGAGCTAAGGGATTCTGAGGAAAGCAAGAAAGCAAAGGGTTAAATGGACATCAACATTTACCAAGGGTTTCCTGTGTTTGTAGGGTACACACAAATTAGAAGACATGGTCTGGAGAATGCTTAATTATGAATTTAAAACAAATTTAGGGATCCCGAGGAAGTATTTGCAAAGACAGAAATGTTAAAAAAATTTTTTTTTTTTTTTTAAGAATACAAACCCATCTATCCATTTGGATTTCTCAGAGTGTAAGGTTGGTATGCTTTATTTCTCTTTCTGGTGGTTTTTGTTTTGTGCCTCCTCCTGGCACCCCTCCTATTAAGGCCTACAAAATACCTCTCTAACCCATATTCACTAGGGTTTACCCCAACCCTCTCTTTCTGGAGAGAGATATCTCCATACGCATTTCTTAGTTTTCACTATCATTTGAAAGCTAAAGTGGAGGGGTGGGAAGAAAGCATCGCCAGGCATCTGCATGGTGTTTCAGGCTCTGCCAAGTGTCTATGGCCATTCCCCTTTGCCCAGGATAAAGCACAGAATTCACAGGCTGCTCTTCAAGGCCCCGCATAAAGGGTTTTAGCCCAACTTTCCAGTTCTTCCAATTGCAGTATAACCAAACTGCTCTTTCCTGATAGACTGGAATTCTTGAAGGACAGGAATTAGGCATTGAATACTTCTCGTATTCCCCAGTTTGCTTTCGCTCCTTCTTTTCACATAATAAATGCTAAATTCTTATTTGTTGACTTAACATTTACATGGTTTCCATGGGGCCCTAAGAACTTACAACATGCATTTTGCATTTTATGCTGCCTGTGGTAAGTACCAGCGCTGGATTGCATGAAAACCTGAATTAGAATTCTGCCTCTGAAACCAACAAGCTAGAGGACCTGGGACAGATTTCTCAGCCTCTTTTAAGTTTCCGTGTTTTAAATCGTCATACAGAAAGAGGGCTATCTAATGTAGACAGCTGTCCTGAGAACAGAGTGAAGCGGAACTTGTGTGATATGTCGTAATGCCTGGCCTACCCCATGGGCTCCTTGAATGCTAGAACCTGACCTTATGGGTGGTTCTAAAAAGCTAATGTATGTAAAGCCTAACACAGTGCCAGCAACATAGAAGATGCTTTAAATTCTAAAAATGGGGAGCAAAGCAGCGAGGCCGGGGTCCGAACTGGGGTTCTGTGCCCGCTGGGCTGCTGCCCCAGCTGGACTATCGCCATGTAACTCAGCGCCGAATACCTCATGGAGAAGCTGCAGCGGGACCTGACGGCGGAGCATGTGGCAGTGGAGGACAACACCACCCGCAGCCGTTGCGCCTGTAGCTTCCGAGTCCTGGCGGTATCGGCCAAGTTCGAGCGCAAGTCCCTGCTTCAGAGACACCGGCTGGTGAACGCGTGCCTAGCAGAAGGGCTCCTGCACATCAATACCTTTGAACAGAAAACCCTGATCCCAGAGCAGTGGGCCCGTGAGCGGTAGAAATGAGGGACTGGGACTTGCACAGCCATTAAATTATAAATCTGGAAAAAAAATTCTAAAAATAAATCTCCTGAATCAATGTTTCTCAGTCCGCTACACGAATCCCCAGCATCAGAATTACCTGGAGATTCTTGTTAAGAGTAGCGATTATACGGATTGCCAGCCACAGTCAGACAGTGGGGATGGGGCCTTAATGAGCACCCCCCCATAGATTCCCAATGCTCACTGAAGTTTGGAAATCAGTACCCTCACTGTATTTTAGCATATTCTCCCGATAAGTATGCAGGCAAGGGATTTTGACGCCTTCATTGTTTCAGCATGGAGAAATTGAGTTGAGAATGGCCCAATGGCTGATCTGAGGTCACAAGGTCAGAAGTGCCAGAAAGGGTATTGGAACTCTATCTCCCGAGCCCTAGAATCAGCCTAGAACTTTCGCCTTCTCCATTTCTACCGAAGGCTTGGTCCCTTGGCAAAAATTGGCAGTCCCTGCACTTCCCTTAGCCCTCTGACTCCCTATCCATTTTCTCAAGGATGCCCTTCCACCGTCCTAGTTGAAAGTTTTAAGTTTGGGCCGGGGATGTGGCTCATGCCTGTAATCCTAGTCCCTTGGGAGGCCAAGGCGGGTGGATCACCTGAGGTCAGGAGTTTGAGACCTGCCTGACCAACATGGTGGGATCCCGTCTCCACTAAAAATACAAAAAAATTAGCTGAGTGTAGTGGCACATGCCTTTAATCCCTGCTACCTGGGAGGCTAAGACAGGAGAATCGCTTGAACCTGGGAGATGAAGTTGCAGTGAGCCAAGATTGCACCATTGCACTCCAGCCAGGGCAACAAGAGCAAAAATCCATCTCAAAAAAAAAAAAAAAAAAAAAGTAAGTTTAAGTAATTAGCCAAGTTAATATGTATATATATTCCAGTTAAACAACTGTGTACTAAAAGATGAACCCAGGGACTGATGTTCGGAAGAAGTATCCAAGGCAGAGAACAGAAATGATATAAATACAGTGCCTGAAACTTCTGCTTTGTTGTTTAAAAGGCAGAGCTTCCAGCAAGTGAGAAAATTGGAAATTACTCAGAGCGCACTCAGCCTTTATAGAGAGGGATATCGTCTACCCATTATATCCTAATGAGATTGACCGTTGGCTACAGTTAACTTGAAGGGTTTTATGGTTTCCTGCATGTGTTGTTTTCCTTCTCTATGTTAAAAAGAAGAAAAAAAAAAAAACCTCTCACATCAGTAAACGGTATTTCCCAGGGGGCTGTCTGAGTAGGCTGCTGCATTTTGGTTTGGGCCTTAGTTAACAATGGACTTCTATGTGTGTATGTTTGTGAATACAGGTGATAATAAATTTAGCCCATTTTATTTTCTTTTGACAGTTTCAATTCAGGGCAATTGGTTTATGGAGTACCGCCAAACAGGCCTAAGTCAAGTCATGGCAGGAAGTTTCTTGTAGGGCCTACCCTGCAGATTTTTTGTTTAAGGACCAAGTTCTAAGTCATTTGTGCACCAATATACACAGCTGCTTTGCATCATACCTAAGACATTCTAAGGGTATTCCATTTGAGTGGTTTTTTTTAAGGGTAGGACATTAAGAAACAAATGAAATATCATTTACTTAGCCCACTTGCTTCTTTAGATATTTTTCCAAATACATAATTCTTTGGATTAGTTTTTAAACACATAATAAATGTGCTGTTTCCTGACATAACATGCAGTTGAAAGGCAAGTGAAAACACTGTCTATTATCCTTAGTAGGTAGGCTCTCTCCAGTCAGTGAATGCCCAGCAGTGCAGGGCGATGGTTGGCTAATGCATGCGATGCATGTAACTGCTTTTACAAGAGCTAAGCAGAAGGGTCCTGTTGAACGATCAGTTAGCTCCCCTTGTATGTGTGGTTGTTACATTCTTTCCTACCAGCCCCTGCCCTAATTTCCTCAGATCAACACCTAAAGCCTGTGAAAATAGTCTCTTCTGGAACCCCTGACCTTCAGTCTCTGCCCCTGCTTTCTCCCTTCCCATTCCCACACTTTCTAAGTGGGCCTTTTATCTCTCCTGTTTGCCAATTCCCCTTAGACTCTGAATAATTTATCTGAAGTTCCTGGGAAGTTGTGGGGCTGTCTGTAGTCTCAAAATACACTGCACTTTGTTCCTTCTCTAGGCCGAGGTAGGTCCAAAAGCCTGTCTTTGAAAGAGGTGGTGCTAAGTACATTGGGGGATTTACTAACAATTTTAATTTTTTGGATAAGCACCCAATGAATCCAAAAGCTTGAGGAAAGAAAAAATAAAAGGCAAAAGATGAAGGTGAGTAGTACATTGCAATTCCGATATCTCCCAAAGAATGTCAAGTAAATTAAGGGAACACGGATTAAGATTTCCAGTTCTTATTGCTATAATAATGTATTTTATACATGTCTTTTCAAACACATGAGAGTTTTCCTTGAGTAGTTACTAGAAGTGGAAAGTTGCTGGGTCTTAGTCTTATAGACAAAGGCTTTTGACAGTTTTCGTACCCTGGTGCTGGTTAGGTGTAAAGTCGTTTGAGGAGAGAAAAACTAGTGATATGTCTAAATGAACACAGGTTAAAAAGTAAACCAAACTTTCAAACAATCATTTTAACCCCCAGAGAAGGTGAACAGATTATTTTAATATGTAAGTAGATACATCTGCAAATCATACTGAGATGATTTTTCTATCCCAAGTGTCTGATAACATACATGAATAGAAAGGCGAACAATCACAGTAATAGCCTTGACACTGACATGGTGACAAAGTATGGGGACTTTAGCACTACCGAAATAAACATGAGAACAGCGATCAACTCTCTTTGGTCTTTTTCTTCCATGAGAACTCATCAGGCTGATTCCCATTTCTGCATTACCAGCCTTACTTTTTTTTTTTTCCTTTTGCTAGGCTCTGTGATTGCAAGGAACAGAATCACTCAAGTAACCTGAAATCGTGGGGCTTTATTACAAAGAAACACAAGGCTACAAGGGAACTGAAAATGTCATGGTAGTTCTAGGAGAAATAGCGTTCAAGATCCATGGCAGCTCTAGAG